ACAGGTTTGGGAATGTACCAAATCAGTGAGCTGATACTGGCAATCACGAATTCAATGGCAGAGGACACAGGACCGGGTACGCTCCACAAGGTCTCCCTGACGTTACGACCTGGTTGCGAAAACGAGGTCGAGCCAACAACATATAAAGTTAAAGGAGACTGGACGATACAGAAGGCCACACTATATTGGTCTTCATGTCTACGATCCAATTAAGAGTAAGTTCTTTTCAAACAATATGAAATCGAAAACATACGGACTAACATAATGCCCGGCAAAAAGGCATAAAAATTCAATGGGGACAAATATAATATAATTTTACCGCACAATTAGGTATGCATATGAATAAAGATGCTAAAAACTTCCGATCAAAAACCAAAATTGCTTCTTTAAAATAGGGATTTATAATGTAGGAATATGAGATATTAGGCGTAATCTTCTGCCTGAGTATTTAACGAAATTACAAATAATTTTTGTACAGTAAATAAACCACTCCAGGTAGCTTAAGGACTACTAGTGGGCTTTGTCTCACAATTATATGAATAGGCCTCACGATGCTGAGTTTCACTTTGACTTGCCTCAAAAAAAGGTTTTTTCATACAGGCATTGCAGTGGGATTTCAGATTGGGCAAACATGTGTTTTGCCACCAGCAACGTGGTCTTGACTTATTTTCGAAACTTTCGTTACCGTCAGCAATTCTCATAACAGTCAACTTCAATGGGATCCTGACTCCCAGTGATATTATTGTGCGGGAAAACTCGAGTATCAGTCCATTAAAATGACCATAAGCGGCCTAGACTGACTACATTTCTATTCAGGCCTTACTCGAAAACTACTCGTTTTGACCACTTCACTCCGATGTGAAGATGAGTTGCCCAACTGCTAAGTCCAGAGGCTCCTTGAAGCGCAACCTTACCTTGCTTCCCCTCCTTGTTGGCAGACGACGTGAATCTGCTGCGCGAAATCAAAGAGACCTGCTGCTACACGCGACCCTTGGACTGTTCCGAAGGTCGGGATCAAGACGAGCAGAAGTGGCGCCGACTGGCCAAAGTCTGGGGCGAGCTGCGACTGCCCGACGACCTTTTCGTCGAGGCGACGGAGGCGCTGTTCACGCCCAGTCTGCTCGGTCTGGGCCAGACGAAGGGGCTGGCCGAGGCGCTGGAGTCTGCGGTCCGTTTGTCCGGCGCCGTGGCCGGGCCGGGCCGCGGGGCCGCGGCGAGGATGGCGTCGAGGCTGGTGCTGGCCGGCGGGAACACGATGTTCGCGGGTTTGGCGGACCGTCTGACCAGCGAATTGCTTCCACGGAAACGGCCTCGACGTCGCTACGTCTACCTGCCGCCGGACGAGGAGATCCCGCCTCAGCCAATCGAGGTGGTTGCGCCGCCACGGCGAAACCGACTCGCTTGGATCGGCGGCTCCCTCGTCGCCGATCTGGCCACATTTCCCGGCGTCTGTCTGACGCGTCAGCTCGTCGACGAGAAAGGCGTCGAGTTGGCGATCCGCGAGAAAGCGGCTCGTGCCACGCCACTGCCGCCCGCTGCTCGCTAGACCCCAGCTGCCGTCATCTCCGTCGATGTCACCTTCGTCCCCAGTCGCCGTCGCCGTCGCCGTCGCTATCATCATCTCGGTCGACGTTACCTTCCCCGTTGTTGCCAGCTTCGCCGTTGTCATCATCTTCGACATCGCCATCATCAAATCCCCCAATGTCACCTTCGCCGTCGCCATCATCATCGCCGTTGTTGTCATCTTCACCGTCATCGTTGCCGTCGC